CCAGAATCGCCAAATTCCCTTAACGTATACGTTGAGCCGTTCAGCATCAACAACTTCTCGCCTTCCCGACGCTCCAAAACAGCCCAAGACGCCCCCCAGATCGCCCCAACGGGGTTCAAGGGGCACTTAAGAGGCCCCCACGACGGCCCAAGAGGGCCCCAAGCCGGCCCAAGAGGTACCCAGGCCCAATGGGTCCCCAAAGCGGCCCCCGACAGGCACCAAGGACTCCCACAGAGGCCACAGCTCCCCAAGAGGCCCAAACAAGGCCCCAAAAGACGCCAACACAGCCTCGAAAACAGACTAAGAGGCCTCCCAACGGGGCCCCAAGAGGCCCAAATCGCCAAATTCCCGGCGTAAAGCGTTCGGCGCTCAGTATCAACAGCTTCTCGCCTTCCCGACGCTCCACGACGGCCCAAAACGTCCCTCCAACTCGCCCCAAGAGGCACGCAATGGGCCCCCACGACGGCCCAAGAGGTCCCCAAGACGGCCCAAAACGGCACCCGAGAGGCACGAAGGACTTCCACAGAGGCTTCCAACAGGCCCCAGCTCCCCAAGAGAAGCCAAACCAGCCCCCAAGAGGGGTCAAACCTGCTTCCGAAAAACACACTGCAAGCCACTTGGGCCCACTGCATTCGTGCGGCGACGGTCAGAAGCTACATCTATATCCCTCTCGATACATATATATATATATATGTATAGGTAATGGCGATCTATATATATATGTGTGATTATACATAAAGAAAATTATCCCGGCAAAGCAACCTAACAGCGATGTGTAGGAGCATATCTGGAAGCATTCCCCTTAAGATTCAGATGAGAATCCAGTTGTAGAATTGTGCTGTTCTCGCAGTCGTAGTCGCATTCGCGATGACAGTCGCAGTGGCAACGGCAGTCACAGACACAGCCTCAGCCTCAGCCTGCCTCAGCCTCAGCCTCAGCCTGCCTCAGCCTCAGCCTGCCTCAGCCTCAGCCTCAGCCTGCTTCAGCCTCAGCCTCAGTCTGCCTTCAGCCTCGGCGTCAGCCTCAGGCTGCCTCAGCCTCAGCCTGCATCAGCCTCAGCCTCAGCCTCAGCCTGCCTCAGCATCAGCCTGCCTCAGCCTCAGCCTCAGCCTGCCTCAGCATTCAAAATGTGGCCCGGGAATGTAGTTCTGGGAACTCGAAGAACACGAAGTGGCGTTGGCATTCAACACCCGGGAAGTGGTTCTGGGAACTCCACGAAGTTGGCCTACAGTTGGCGGGCATTCAAAATGCCCAGGAATGGAGTTCTGGGAAGTCGAAGACACGAAGTGGCCTACAGTTGGCTCCGGGCATCCAAAATTGGCCCGGGAATGGCTACAGTTGGCTCCGGGCATTCAAAATCATGCCCAGGAATGGAGTTCTGGGAACTCGAAGACCACGAAGTGGCCTACAGTTGGCTCCGGGCATTCAAAATGTGGCCCGGGAATGGAGTTCTGGGAACTCGAAGACCACGAAGTGGCCTACAGTTGGCTCCGGGCATCCAAAATGTGGCCCGGGAATGGAGTTCTGGGAACTCGAAGAGCACGAAGTGGCCTACAGTTGGCTCCGGGCATTCAAAATGTGGCCCGGGAATGGAGTTCTGGGGACTCGAAGACCACGAAGTGGCCTACAGTTGGCTCCGGGCATTCAAAATGTGGCCCGGAATGGAGTTCTGGGAAGTCGAAGAGCACGAAGGGCGTACAGTACACGTGGCTCCGGGCATTCAGAATGTGGCCCGGGAATGGAGTTCTGGGAGGTCGAAGAGCACGAAGCGTGTGACTGTATGCGAAAAACGATCCCGGCCGGCAAACCCCAACTCGTCCCCAACGGCTGCCCAGACCCCCCTGTGGAGTAATGTGCTGCTCTCTTTTTAGCCCATTAGAAACCTATCAGTCTTCGCTGTTAGGTAAATAGAGAGAGACATATATATATATATATATATAGACATAGAAAGAGAAAGAAAGAACTAACGAAATAAAGAACGATAACACAAAAAAGAGACTGTAAGACAGAGAGAGAGAGAGAGAGAGACAGATAGAGAGAACGAGAGAGAGCGAGAGAAAAAGAGAGAGAGAGAGTGAGAGAGAGAGGAAACACAAAAAAGAGCCTGCAGCCAGATGCAGTCTGTGGACGCCCGAAAACAGTTAACGCTCAACGGATCCCAACCATGGGAACATCAACGCGTAACTTTCGGGAATTGCCTCCCCTTGGGACGAGGCAACTGTCTGAACTGATTCGCAAGGCGTTCTCTCAAGCGGCAACGGCGCCCAGCTGTATGTGTCCTTCAGCGTGCCGCTCTCCGCTTCCTGGCAGGTGGACTTCTACTGCGCGGCGACGGGGGGCCTATCACTTGCCGCCACCTCGGTGGCGGGGGTCGCTTCCATCGAGGGGGCTGACTCCCGAGCTTGGTGCTGGTGGTGACAGCTCGCCCTCGCAGGCGGCCAAATAATCGCGCGCCACACCCGCCGCCAGAATCTTTCCAGACAGGAAAGGGAAGCGCCGCTATTTTGGTTGCGGAGCTCGCTGGGGGCGTGTTGAGGACAGCGTGCAGGACGTCGAGCACGATGGAAAAGCGCAGGATGAGCACGAGGAGGATGAAAGATAACGACGTGGAGTAAGAGAGTTGAGAAGACGAGCACCAGGCAGAAGGGATGATCAGAAGAAGGAGAAAGTTCAGCATGAGGAAGACGAGGATGATGCCGATGAGGGCCACGAAGACGACGACGACGATTACGATGAAGACGGCGATGACGGCGACGACGACGACGACGACATGGGAGGCAACGGACGTTTGCTGACGACGCCGGCGCCCCTTGTTCTCCCCCAAATTTGTGCCTTCCCTGCGCGTTTGCCTGCGGCGGTTCAGAAAAGGTTGCCGTGTCTTCAGAGAATGCGGGCTCAGTCGATATCATGTCGCGTGAGAGCTGGCAAGCTAAGCTAAAATGCCGAACGGTCTGAGCGTGGAAGCCGCAGGTCTGTTCGTCGTTCGTCGTCGTCGTCACACGTGGGCCACCGTTGCCCGAGAGAGCCCCAAAACGGTCCCAGAGCGCTCGAAGACGGCCGAACAGGCCCCTCAAAGAACCCCAAGCAAAACGATACTATTTCGATGCCCCCCCTGAAATAACACAGACCCCGTGGGGGCCGTGTTCGAGCCTCTTGGGGCCTCTTTTGGGCCTCTCGGGGGCCAACTTGGGGCCTCTTGGGGGCCTCTTTTGGGCCCCTGGGGGCGTTCGTGGTCCCCCTCTTGGGGGACCTTCTTGGAGCCGTCTTGGGGCCCTCTTGGGCCGTCTTGGGCGCCTGTTGGGCCGTCTTGGGGCCCTCCTGGGAGCTTCTTGGGCCATCTTTGGCCAGCCTTGGGCCTTGGGGGCCTGTTGGGCCCTCTAGGGACGGCGGAAGCTCGAAAAGGCGATAACCCCCAAAACAGCAAAAAAAACGATTGCTCTTGGGGCATATGGAAAGCTTCTCGGGCTGTCTTGGATCGATTTGGGGCCGTCTTGGAGCCCTCTTGGGCCTCTCTTGGGTCGTCTGGGGAGTGCTTGGGGGGATCTTTCGCCATCTTGGAGGCTTCTTGGGCCGTCTTGGGCCCGAAACCCGGAATCCCTGATGGACCCAGTACCCCTTAGTTCAAAAAAATTAAGGAGCCCCAGACCCAACGGTGCACGCCGGAGGCGCTTCCAGTCATCCGCCGACCCTGTCGGCGTGTGTGAGGGGCTTGTCTGTACGAGTCGTCGTCTCCGTCAGTCGTCGTCTCCGTCATCCCTTTTCCCTGCACCCTCCTCCTCAAGCTTGTCAGCGAGAGAAACATCTAACAATGTCGTAATCGAGTCGAAGGGAATCCCCTTCCCTTTGATCCCTCCCCCGTCGGGGGGGCGGGGTCCCGGGGAAGTGGGGGGTGGGGGAGGGGTCAGATACGCATCCCCCCCTGGGGTCCCTGGGGCCTCAGAAAAGACCAGACAGGCCAAGAGTGCCCCAAGAGGCCCCCGAGACGGTCCAAGAGGGTCCCCAATCGCCAAACGATCGGCCAAAACGCCTTCACGCCCTCCAGACTGCCCAGGCGGCCTCCAGAACGCCCGAAGACGCCTCCAAGAGCACTCCCGAGAGGGCCCGAGGCCAACTTCATTGATTTTCCGTATTTGGGCGTTCTCGCCTGTTCCACTTCCCGCCGCTCCAAGACGGCGCAAGAGGCCCCCAAGATCGCCCCAAGACGGCCCAAGAGGCCTCCAAGATGGCAGCAAAACAGCCCAGGAGGACCCCAAGACAGCCCCAAACGCCTCCAAGACGGCCCAAGAGGCCCCCAAGACGGCTCAAAGAGCGTGCCCAGACGGGGCCCCGAACGGTCATTTCGAGCCCTCGGCCCCAAGAGGCTCCCAGGAAGCCCCAAGAGGTTCCCAAGAGGCCCCAAGAGGCCCACAAGAGGTCCCCAGGAAGCCTGAGGAGGCCCCCAAGGGGCTCCGAAGAGGCCCCCAAGAGGCTCCCAAGATGCCCTCAAATTCTTCTCCTCAGGCCCCCGAGAGACTTCCGAAGAGACCCCAAAAAGCATAACTGATGACTCTGGCCCAAGTCAGCGTCGTCGCCGTTGCCGCCGCCGCCGGTATCGTCGTCGTCGTCGTCGTCGTCGTCGTCGTCGTCGTCGTCGTCGTCGTCGTCGTCGTCGTCGTCGTCGTCGTCGTCGTCGTCGTCGTCTCCCTTCAGGGTCGGCGGCACCAGCCGTGAGGCCTTCGCCATCGGAGGACACCTTCCCTCGGTGGAGTCTGCCTCCAGTCTCGGTGGCGCCACCAGATAATAGGCTTCCGAAGCACAGGTGCGCAGAAGGCACCTGTGCGTCATCACCATGCTTGGCCAGGGGCATCCTTGCGTATACGCCCTTCCGTTCAGGGCCAGGGGGATCTATATACCATTCTGGGGGCCCGACTGGCCCTGGCTAGGCCTGGTGGTCGGCGTGGTCTGCGCATCACATGACTCCGACGCAGAGGGGAGCCCTCCCCCTCCTTCGAACCGGGAGCCTGCCGCATGACCAGCGGCGCGTCTGGCGCCCTGCTGGAGGCCGCGGCGGTAGGCTTGTCGGCCTTCCGCCTCTCGCGCTCGCCTGGCTCGGGGAGCGCGGACCCCCCCCCCTAGAAGCTCCAACCCCCACACGTGTAGATACATCTCATGGGGCGCTCCAGAAAAGGGCCTCGATTCCGAGCGCCGACGGAGTTGGCATCCCTTCCTCGGCGGGCGGCGGCGACAGGGCGGCGGAGGCAGAACAGGGGGCGGGCTCCGCCGGCGAAGGGCCGGCGGAAGGAGAAACTGCACCCCCAGGAGATGACAATTCTCCTCCTCCTCCTCCTCCTCCTCCCTCCTCCCTCCTCCTCCTCCTCCTCCTCCTCCTCCTACCTCCTCCTCCTCCTCGTCCTCCTCCTCTCCTCCTCCTCCTCCTCCTCCTCCTCCTCCTCCTCCTCCTCCTCCTCCTCCTCCTCCTCCTCCTCTTGGTTTTTTGGGATCCAAGGTTCCTGGAACCCGCCACATGTCGGGCCTAACCAGGACTAGGTTTCGTGGGGCCCGGTTTGGTGAGGCGTACTGGGGGGCGCCCCCCCCGCCCCGTTCCACTAGCCGGAACTGCCGTCACCCGAGAAACACCAGCTACGGCAAACCTGGTTTAGTGACTCTGGCCAATTCAGGGGCTCCGGGGCCCTCCTTCGGACCGGGTCCCCCTACCTGGGGCCCTGGCCATACCCGAATACAAGCGACGAAAGGAAGCGGGCTCCACGCACGTGGACGTTGCGACCCTGCGCGGCGGCTGGCGCGGGCCGCCAGCTCGGCACGCCACAGTGGAGACGAGGGCGCCTGCGCGCGACCCTCCGCGGAAGCCGGGCAAGGGCTGCTAAATCCGTGGCTGCTAAAATCGACCTCCGGGAAGTTGTCTTCGTCCTTCCGGGAAGCAGCCCGTTGACTGTTTCGCTTGCCGCGCCACCTTGCGGGAAGTTGTTTTCTCCTTCCGGGAGGGCCGTTTTAGCAGCCACGGTTTGAGCAGCCCTCGCCCGGCTTGCGACCGGCGCGCAAGGCTCACGCGCAAAGGTCGACGAAGGCAGGCCCCGCTCGTCCGCGTCGCGCGTGTATGCGCGCGGGCAGGAGCTCTCGACCTCTGCGCCGCTCGCCGGGGCGCGGGCGGGGAGCACGACGGCGTGGGGGCCCCAGGAGAGGGCCCAGGATCTGGCCGACATCGACGCCTTCCCCCAAAGCGCCGACCGCCGCATCCCCCATTTGGTTGATGTTTTTGGACGCCAGAATTGGGTACGGAAAGAATGGGTACAATGCCCAACAGCGGTTCCTGTTCACTTTGAACAGGACTCGCTCCCATCGTACTTAAGTCGGGCCGGGCGAAAGGGGGGGATAGAAAGGGGGGGGGGGTGAGCTGGTGTTCGCGGCGTGTCTCGAGGAATGGGCGCCTCAATGGGGCCGAAACCAGCTGCATGCAGCAGCTTTCGTAACCCCCCTTTCCCTATCCCCCCCTTTCGTCCGAGCCGATTAAGGACCAACATCCCAGAAGTACTTTCGAGTACCCAGAAAAGTCTCGAAACAGTGTCGGACGTGCATCGCCTCCGGGGACCCGACACGTGAACACCCTGCAGTTTCGGTACTTCCTTGCTGATCGAAGCTCCTTCTGGCGACCAAGGCCGAAGCAGGTGGGAACACCATAACATCTGGTTTCCGTCGGCCGAGATTTCGGCTGGCGCGCCATGTGTATACGCACACGCAGAAGGCGCACATGTGCACCACCATACACGTCGGTCGGAAGAAGTAGGTAAAAACGTGAAGTAGGAAGGCGGATGTAGTGGGTCGGGCCCAGGCCCTCCCAGAGAACAACAAGACACAGCAACAGCATGCCGGTTCTTGAAGTAGGAAGGCGCCTGAACTAGAGTGGGAGTTGGGAATCCAAAAACACCCGCTTTCAACGACCGGCGTGTACCTGGCCAGGGCCATGCCACTGTGCACACGCCCGGCCTGCCGAGGCCAGGAGGTCCGCGCGCGGCCCTGCGGCCCGGAGGTGGTCCCGGCCCGGCGCGGCGGGGCGGCGGCGTCCGGGTGCGCCTCGCGTGGGCCAGAGCAGCTGGGCCTGTTTTCCACCACCACCACGATAAGTTGGAGGGGGGGATGGAGGTGGAGGAGGAGGGAGGAGGAGGAGGAGGAGGAGGAGGGGGGAGGAGGAGGAGGAGCCCCTCCCCTTCCAGCTTATGGTGGTGGTGGTGGTGGTGGTGGTGGTGGTGGTGGTGGTGGTGGTGGTGGTGGTGGAAAACAGCCCCCTCAAGACCGCCTGCTGGACGGCCGAGATGTACAGACTGGTTTTCTCTGGACCACAGCGAGAACTGCAGAGGCTGCGACGCACGCCGCGCCGCTCGAGGCGGCTCACGGGCCAGAGTGCTCCCAGTTCGGGTGCACGCTGCGTTGACGTTGCCCCTCACTGCGTATGCACTGCTGTCTAGCTGCTGCTTGTCACCTGTCTGCTCTGCAGACATGGGAGAGAGCGTGATCCACCGCCGCTTTACTGTGGAAAATTGCTAGCCTTGTCCTCCGGAACCCGGGGCCCCCCCTGCTGGAACCCCCGCTCCCCCCCCCCCCTCCTCCGGCAAAACCCCACCCCTCCCCTAACCCCTCCCCCCCCCCCTCCCCTCGAAAAACCGGGGGGGTCACTACCGGTTCGAACCCCTCCCCCCCCTCCGGATCTGGAAAACCGGGGGGGTCACTACCGGTTCGAACCCCCCCCCCCCTCGAAAACCGGAGGGGGGTCACTACCGGTTCGACCCCCCCCCCCCCCCACGCACCGCCAGCAAACGACTCCCGGTCCCTACCACCGTCCGCATCACATCCCCCACTGTTGTTCCCAGCACCACTGTCCTCACCACCACTGTCCCCACTGGTTCCACCACCGTCCCTACTGTCCCCACCAGTGCCCCCACCACTGTCGCACTGTCCCCACTGTTCCCACCACTGTTCCCACCACGGTTCCACTCTCCCCACTGTCTCCACGGACCCAACCACTGCCCGACTATCCCCACTGTCCCCACTGTCCCACTGACTCCTCCGCTGTCCCACTGAGCTGTCCCACTGTTCCCACCACTGTCCCCACTGTCCCCACCACTGTCCCCACTGTACCTCTGTCCCATTGTCCCACCGCCGTCCTCGCCACCGCCTTCACCACTGTCCCCACCACCATTGTACCCTCCACTGTCCCACTGTTTCCACCTCATTCCCACTGTCCCCACACCACTGTCCCCACCACCACCGTCCCCACCACTGTCCACTGTCCCCCCTGTTCCCACCATTGTCCCCACCACTGTCCCCACCACTACCACTACCGTCCCCACCACTGTCCCACTGTCCCACTGTCCCCACCACTGTCCCGCTGTCCCCTCACCACTGTCCCCACCAACACCGTCCCCACCACTGTCCGCACCCCCACTCGGTTTTCGAGGAGGGAAGGGGGGAGGGGGGGGGGGTTCGAACCGGTAGTGACCCCCCCCGGTTTTCGAGAGAGGGTGGGGGGGGGGGGTTCGAACCGGTAGTGACCCCCCCCCCTTTTCATGATGAACTGTGGGGGGGGGGGGGGAGGGGTTCGAACCGGTAGTGACCCCGTCCGGTTTTCCGGAGGGGGGGGGTGGGGGGAGGGGTTCGAACCGGTAGTGACCCCCCCCGGTTTTCCGCCAGCAGCGGTAGAACACGCTCTTTCAGACATGGCGAGCCACCCTCGGGCGCGGCAGTGCTAGGAGACCTGTTGCCTGGGTTCCTGAATCCAAGAGACCAATGATCAAATTTCGGTGGACGGCCGTTAGATGGACGGCCGACCGCCACATGGACGGCCGAATAGGTCATCCACGTGGGGTTCACTTCGGGCTTCCCGTTCCACGAAGGGTGACGCGTGACGCGCGCTCACCTTCGCGCAACCGGCGCTACCCCCCCCCCTGTGGGGAAGAACGACACATCGCGAAGCGCCCCTCGCGAATTCCTTCGCGCCCGTGCGGGCGACCACGGCAGCAGATGCCCAAATCCACTCGGGACCGACTTCTGGAGTCCAGCGCCCGCTTTGATCAAGCAGTCCTGAGTGAGGATGCAGCTCTGGCGCCGCTGGGCCACTCCAGCTTCTGCTCACCTGGAGGTCGCGTTGGCACCCCGTCCATGGCAGGGCCGACGCGAGCCTCGGGAGCTCCAGGGGCTGAGTGCGCCAGGATCGGGAGCCGAGACAAGGACTAACCCAAGAAGGTCCGCTCCGCGCGAAGGGCAGCGGCATCCGTGCCCTTCATCCCTCTGCTCTCGAGGAGCTCGGGCGGGGCCGCACGCGCGAAACGGACTGTGTGCAATGAGCCCTTTTAGGCTGCACTTAAGCCTATGGTTAGGTCGGGCGTGTCCCCCTACAGGCGGATTTTGGACGAAACATGAAAAATTACCCTAAATACAAAACAAACAAAAACGGACAACAAATCGTCCCCCTATTTTTGAATATTCCTCCTGTAGAGGGACAGGCCCGACTTCAGACTGAGGACGAATGGGGAATGCCAAGGCGATGAAGGCGCTACAGGTATGGGTGCGAGTCGTCGGACCCCCGAGAGGGAGCTCCTGGCCGAGCTGGGAGCCTCGTCCGGCAACACACACACACACACAGCCCGCCCAAGAACTCCACCCCGAGAAATCTGGGGGTTGCATGGGCATGGCTGCCAAGCGTCAGCTCATGACTCGGCCGCGTCCACTCTGTAGCGCTGCCAATTTGCAGCAGTCGCACGCCCGTGTTGGCGGGCATGTTGTGCGACACCTCTCGGGAGCACCTCGGGGTGAGCCCTCGGGAGCCCAACGGACACTGCTGGAGAAGGTCAAGGATGAGGAGGAGGAGGAGGAGGAGGAGGAGGAGGAGGAGGAGGAGGAGGAGGGAGGGGGGAGGGGGAGGAGGGGGAGGGGGAGGAGGAGGAGGAGGAGGTAGAGGAGGAAGAGGAGCATGATGAGGAGGAGGAATCCGAGGAGGAGGAGGAGGAGGAGGAGGAGGAGGAGGAGGAGGAGGAGGAGGAGGGATGAGGAGGAGGAGCCCCGTGCTGGCCCCGTGGCCCACAGGGGCCGCGCGATCCCGTCCGACACGAAACTCTGGCCCGACGGCTCCCGAGGTGCCTGACGGTGGCAGATCGGCAGAGAGGAGTCACAAGAGGGGGGGACCAGCTCAGGGGCAGGAAACATCGCGATGGCATCGGCGAGATATGACCGACGGATTGCGTGCCCTGGCCAGAAGGAGGGAGAGGTGCATGAGGAAAGACCGGCAGGATGGAGATGAGGAGAGAGAGAGAGAGAGAGGAAGAGGAAGAGGTGGAGGAGGAGGAAAGGACGAGGAGGAGGAGGAGGAGGAGGAGGAGAAGGAGGAGGGGGAGGAGAAGAGATGAAACGAGTGAGCGAGAAGGAGGGGACGGAGGGCGAGGAAGAGGAGGAGGAGGAGGCGCAACAGAGGGCGGGAGGAGAGCCTCCGCCAGGGCGAAGAGGAGAGAGCGAGGGCTAGCTAAATCGATTATCATGAGGGGCCCATCCGTCGGAGTATATTTTTCCCTGGAGGCAATTCTTCATCCTGGATCCGCTTTTCATGCTCCCGGGACCCGAAGACGGTCCTGGAGGGCCGAAGTCGACAAGAAATCTCAAATTGAAGAACACACGCACGAAACAGGAGTTACCCCTGACCGCCCCCAGCCTTATAGGGCGACGGGATCAATGCATGTCCACTGCCCAAGGCCTCCTCCGCCTCCTCCTCCTCCTCCTCTTCTCCTCCTCCTCGTCCTCATCCGTGGCCTCCCCAGGTCTCCCCCATCCTGGGCCCAGGAGCGGTGCACATGCCCTCCCGGGCGGCGTATGCACCGATTGTGGGCACAAGAGAAACCAGGCCCGGGGCAGCGGATAGGTGTAGATCTGGCAGAAGGACACAATCCGTGGACATCCCCCAGCCCCCCCGACTCAAAGCTGGCGCGCGCGGGGAAGACTGCGGTCGAAGTGCAGCTCATTCAACCCACCTCCGACATTGATCATTGGGGGGCATTGACAGGTGAATGCGGCATGATTACCAGCCTGGAACATATCCCTATCCCTATGTTGGGCATCGCCTCATCACGATGGCGATCTTAGGGATTTCCTCAGTTTCTGAGGGTGCATCTCTAAGATTGTCATCGCCTTTGAACGTGTCAATCTCAGGGATAGGGATAAGTTCGAGGCTGATGAGTGCTCGCCAACTTCTTCCGAGGCCTGCCCAGTCGCCCTACCCTGATAGTTCCGGGTTCTGACCGGGTGCAGCCTTGCTCGGGCCGGATCGATCTGCGATGGCCCCGGGGCCCCACACAGAGCAGCAGCACCGGCTGTGCAGAAACTGCAACGCCAGGACCTCGGGGTCAGTGCAGCCTTCGGACCTACGCAGCAACTTGCGGAGGTCCGCGCGGATTTCTTAGATCGTCGCGGAGCCGGGGCGGCGCCGAAGCGCCGCCAAAGGGCTCCAGCGCCGATCTGAGACGCCGCGCGGACCGCCAAACACTGAATTCTGTTTATGCAGATCTTTCCCCAATTAGGCTTGCCGAAGGGCATCTTAAATGGTTAAAACTTGGCGCCTCCTATTGTTACTTTGCCCGTTGCTTGGAGGTACCTCCGGTTCCTCGGGCTCCCCGCGATGCCAGGCAGAGCCGACCGACGCCGAGCGACCGCAAGCAACGCCGAGCGATGCCAAGCAGTGCCGAGCGCTGCAAGGCAGCGCCAAGCACTGCCAAGCGATGCCAAGCCTTGCGCCCGTGCAGTCGGAACCTCTCCCCAAAACTGGGACGGCGCTGGGTTCATTGCTCCCTGGCTGCTCCTCCCCTCCGTGCGCGCTGCGCGCGGGCTTCGGCGGCGCGGCCCGCGGGCCCGCCGCGAGAGGCCCCTCGACGCTCCGGCGCGCGCGGCTTCGGCGGCGCGGGCTGGCCGCGCTCTCGGCTCCGAGAGCGGTCCGCGGCTGGCCTTGCGGCGGGGTCGCCCGCGGCGCTCACGCCTTTCGTTCGACGTCGACTTCGTCGTCGGCGACGCTGGCGACCACGACAAGGACGACGACGACGACGACGACGACGACAGCGATGACGACGATGACGAAGACGACGACGACAGCGACGACGACGACGACGACGACGACGACGACGACGGCGGTGACAACGACGACGATGACGACGTCGTCGCTGGTCACCACCATCGTCGTTGGTCGTCGCGGTCGACGTCGTCGCGGTGGTGATCATCGTCCTCGCAGTCGTAGTCGTTGTCGTCGACGCCGTAGTTGTCGACGGCATCGTCGTGGCCATGATCGTCGCCATCGTGGTCATCGTGGTCGCCAGCGTCGCCGATCGACACATCGCGCACGTGCACCAGCTGCCATCCTGGAACAAACATCGCGCGGGTTTTTCGTTGGCCGTTTTCGGCATCTGGGGACCTCGCTGGGCCCCAGGAGTGTACAAATATTTACACAGAATGATGTAACGCCCACGGGGCAAGGGTCTGGACTTTTCGGGGACCCCGGATTGAAACTAGCTTGGCGAAGGATCCAACCATATGCAGTTGTGAGTGACGCAGTTGTGAATATCGTCTTCAGTGGGGCTGCTGATGGGGCCACGAAATGCATGATGGATGTGCCGAAAAAAACGCGGTGGGCACATGCGAACGCAGACACTGTGGCCATCGGTGGACCTCAACGTGTAACGGGTATGCTGACATGGGTAGGGCGGATGCATGCGAACACCTCTACTTGGGCTTTCGGTGGAGCTTCCTATAGTGCCGCGAGGCGTGTGAGGGGTGTGCCGAAGCAGGCGGGGCGGAAACATGCGAACACCGCCACCGGGGCCGTCGGTGGAGCTCCTTGTGGGGCACCGAAGCGTGTAGCTGGTGAGCCAAAATGGGTGCGGTGGGGGCATTGCCACTGGGGCCCTCGGTGGTGGGCACGCGAATGTAGCCACTGGGGCACTCGGTGGAGCTTTCTACGGAGCTACGAACCGTGTGAGGGATATGCTGGCATGGATGCGTTACGCGCGTGCGAACGCACCACTGGGGCCCTCGGTGGCGCTCCCTATGGGACACCGTCACATGTGAGGGGTGTGTTTGAATCGGTGCGGTGGGCATGCGAACGCAGCCGGTGGGGTTTCGGCTCTGGGGCCACGAAACGTGTGCGGGGCATGCCGGAATTACGTGCGCGCATGCGAGCGCAACCAGTGGGGCCTTCGGTGGGGGGTGTTCCGAAAAAAGGGTGCGGTGGGCGCAGGCGTGCAACCACTGGGGCCCTCAGTGTGGGGTGTTCCGAAAAATCGTGCGGTGGGCGCAGCGAACGCAACCACCGGGGCCGTCGGTGCAGCGTACAACTGGGCCACGTCACGTGTGCGGTGTGCCCAAAGTGGTGCGGTGGGCGCATGCGAACGCAACCAGTGTGGCCTTCGGTGGAGCCCCCTGTAGGGTCACGAAACGTATGTCGTGTGTGTGTGCCGAAATTGGTGCGTTTGGCCCCTTCGGTGGAGGGCCCTGTGGGGCCACGTCACGTGTGAATGGTGTGCCGAGCCACGGAACGTGTGAGTGGTGTTCCGGAATTCGTGCGGCGGGCGCGTGCGAGCGCAGCCACTGGGGCCCTCGGTGAAACTCAATGTGGGGTCACGGGAGGAGTGCGCCGAAATCTTTGCGATGGGCGCTTGCGAACGCAGCCAGCGGGGCCTTCGGTGGAGCCCCCTGTAGGGGCACGGAACGTGTGAGAGGTGCCGAAAGTGTTGATTAGCGCGGAGGGCAGGTGCAAAAGATAGCAGGAGGGAGCAAGGGGAGGAAGGAGAGGAGACGCGGGGCGCTGTCTCTTCAAAACGAGGCCCCAACCACATCGAATGGCTGGGGAAAACATACGCCACCGATGAAACCCGCAGGCTTATTTCAATCATGTTGCAATCACTTAGCACTGCTTCGCATCCTGATTTCCGCACGTGCAATGTGAATGTTTCCCCCACTGTCATCCTATGCGCCGTTGCTCGGAACTCGCCCCGTCCCTTCCTGTCCCTTAGTGGGGCAAGATGCGAGGATGCGAGGTGGTCGCCGAGGGCCGTTTCCTAGAGCGGCTTGGAGTGATCCTTTCTCCCTTCCCTCCTGGCACTTTCCCCCTCGCCCCCCCGCCCCCCCCGTCCCCCCTTAGATCGGCCAAATGTTTAGTTTCGCATTTCCCGCGTCTCTCTCCCAACATGCATCCGACGGAGCGTGCCCGAGCTGCGCGTGCAAGGAACATCCAGGCAGACTGACACTGTCGGCAGACAGACAACGCGAATGCCCTTCGATGGAAAAACTCCGGGCCACGGCTGGCATCGAGCGCTGCGAGCTCTTCAGAGGGCGGCGCGGGCCGCGCGAATTCGACGCGGCTGGACAGCGCTGCCTCGCTCGGAAAGACTTCGGCGCCCCGCTTCGCCAGAGCAGGGCGGCCCTTCCAACTGGGGCCACACAGAGTGCGCGCGGGCCCCGCTCACCTCTGCGACAACTGTAAAGAAGAACGGGCGCGTGCGTTCCAACGACCTCGCGCCGCCGGCACGATCCGCCCCTGCGTCTCCTTGGCCATGTTGCCATCGGGCTTCGGGAAGGCTTTCACCGCGGAAAGAGGCGGGCCATTCTGCAAGACCTCCCTCGGCGGCGGCCGAAGCAAGAGCGCGTCGTCCATCCGAGTGGCACTGCTGAACCAGTACATCCGCCAGTTCTCAGCTGTTTCGCCCAGTCTGCCGATGCTTGTGTCCTGCGCGCAATTGACGGCCACCCTGGCGCGGGCCGCCCGCGCCCGCAAAGCAGTGGGCGCGCATGCCTGCCAGGGGGCGCCCGTGCGTCAGCGGGCGCGCATGTCTATTAGCAAGGGTGCGCTTTGGTTGCGCTTTGACGCTTGAAATGCGCCACCACGGGCGGGAAGCAGACCTGGCCGCTCGCCTTCTTCCCCGGGCTTCCGAAGGAGTGATGAGGGCGGCGACCACGTCCAGGCTCTGCTTCTGGAGCTCGTGCGAATCTCACCTCCATACCACGCGCGCAGAACGAGCTCTGCGCGCCCGCCCTGCGTCGCTAGGGTTCGGCACGTTCGGCAGCATCTGGCCTGCTTAGACATCTGCCTGCGGCGCGCTACAGACGACGCCCTCGCCCATTGACTGCAGGAAGAAAAGCGGCGCGTTCATTGTGCGAGAGTCGACCATGGCCCGGCGATAGATCAATCGGCACAGCGTGCTCCCGCACCAGGCCATCGCGAATCCAATCGCAAACTTGTCCTCGTCGCACCGCTGGGGAGGGGCCGCGCGCGGGGTTCTGGGCCAGGTGGGGCTGGCCGAGAAAATTGCCTTGGACTCGCTTATGATTCGCGTCGCGTGCGTCCGGGCCCCCTTTGGGGCCCCCCGTCGGGGCCCTCGCGGGGCTCTCCTGGAGCCCCGCGGCCTTGGAAGGAGCTCTTGGAGCCATCTGGGACACATTGCGCGCCGACCCTGGCGGGGCCGTCGGGGCCTGGAGAGACCAGGCCCGCGGCAGCGCGCGCGCCGGATTCCCTCCCGAGAGCAGCGCTTCGTCCTCGACAGTCGAAGCGCGTCGTTGCCGGTAGAAACTGAGATCTCGACGGGTCGGTGGGCGCGGTTTCCATTGTGTGTGTGTGTGTGTGTGTGTGCGTGTGCGTGTGCGTGTGCGTGTGCGCGTGCGTGTGCGTGTGCGCGTGCGTGTGCGTGTGCGCGTGCGTGCGTGTGCGTGTGCGTGTGCGTGTGCGTGTGCGTGTGCGTGTGCGTGTGTGCGTGCGTGTGCGTGTGCGTGTGCGTGTGCGTGTGCGTGTGCGTGCGCGTGTGTGCGTGCGCGTGTGTGTGCGTGTGTTTCCCGCGCGCAGGGGCCCTACAACAACGCCGTCGTCGCATGGCGAAACCGAGACCCTGAGGGTTCGCCCTGGGGCGCCAGTCGGAAACGCGCTCCGCGGAACCCCCGGGGAGGCCGCGCCGCGGCCCCGCGGGGCCCGGGGGCGCTGCCGCCGACCGCCCGCAACAGCAGTCGCCCACCCTGGGTGGCGCAGGAAAAACAATCGAAGCCGAGCTCCACCTCGAGGAGGCCGGCAGAATTCACGCGGTCGCCCAAAGAGCACGGATGACCTCGTCATATCGTCTCTGCGACGCGCGCTACGCCACTGATGCTGAGAGCGCAATGCGGGCGATTCACATGGCCCGCGCCAGATTGCAGCGCGCAACGTACACGCTCCAAGCCCGGCCTTGGGTGAGACCCGGCCCGGCCTTGGGCGAGGCCTGGCCATTCCCCCCTCCCGAGCCTCGGGCCCCTCGCGCTGGCTGCGAAGTCAGTGGCGACCGGGCCGTGGAAGGCGGTCCTGACACCGTCAGGAATCCGTCGTGCGCAACGCATGTCGGCGACGAGCTCTGAGCTCTACCAGCGGGTCGCACGGCTTGAGAGCTGGGCGCCCTTCAGTTCGATCGCGCGGGTCGCTTATCTGCGCGCCTGAATGGCGCGCTGCGCGTCCGAGCTCGGCGGTGGATCCAGCTTGTAGTTGCCGCCCTCGCCTGCCACTTGGACGCCCTCGATCAGCCTTACGGCTTTCGTCGGGGTGAGCTGGGGGACGTCGCTCAACTGCGTGGCGATGGAAACTCGCGCAAAATGGTGCCGGTTCTTCTCGCGGCTGGACTCGTTCACGCAGACGCCCTGGCCCCTGAAGAACACGCACTCGAAGTCCAGCGCGTTCTAGAGATCCGAGGAGATCATGATGATCTCCTCCACGATGAGCACGCGAACTCGGCGCCATCGCAGTTCTAGCTTGAGTTTCGCGCAGCTGGGCCGCGTCTTGGCGTTCGTCGACCCTTGCGCGGCCATGCCTCCACCTCCGTGGATCGCCATGGCTTCCGCGTCCGCCGTCGAGGTGGTCTTGGCCTGGGCCTTAGAGAACGCCACCACGTCGAGACTCGGACTGGCATTGCTCTCTTCTGGCCACATGTGGTCCACCGCCTTGA